TACTTTTTGGTATATTTCCAACACTTTTTAAATTTTATTATCTTTTCTGTTTTGGGGTTTGTTTTTGTTTTGTTTTGTTTTTGGTAGATACAGGGTGTCCCTATGTTAACCAGGTTGGTTTCGAACCCCTGGGCTTGAGCAATCCTTCTGTGCTGGCCTCCCAAAGTAACAACACTATCTTTGAAACATATAATGGCTGGGCATGGTGGCTCACACCTATAATCCCAGGACTTTGGGGGGCCAAGGCAAGAGGATTGATTGAGCCCTAGAGTGTAAAACCAGCCTGGTTAACATAGGAAGATCCCATCTCTGCAAAAATACAAAAATTAGCCTGGCATATTGGAACACACCTGTCGTCCCAGCTACTTGGGAGGATGAAGTGGGAGAATCACTTGAGCTCAGGAGGTTGCGGCTGCAGTGAGCCATGATCGCAACACTGCATTCAGCCTGGGAAACAGAGTGAGACTCTGTCTCAACACACACACACACACACGGACACACACACAGAGAGACATGCCTAAAACTCATCAATAACCTATGCAGCTAATTTTATTACTTCAACTTAAGAGTATTTATAAAAGTATTTTCTTATGCAAAGGACAAATTTCTCTAGAAAAAGCAATTAAAACCAAAATGAACCATGGTTAATTCTAAGAGTATTTTTTCTACACAAAATAGCAAAATAATGCAGCTTTACACCACCCAGTAAGTCTTAACATTTGAAATTAGAACATATTACTAGGTCTAAAGTTACTAAACAGAAAAAGTAACCAGTATGACTTATTACCATGGGCTGTTAATTCAATGTATCATTAAATACTATCAAGCTGCCTAATCCCTAATATTCTTAGATTTTTTTTTGTTTTTTGATCTTCAAATAAAGAGTTCCTTCAGTAAGACTGTTCACTGAGCAGATGTTTACTGAGTATCTACCAAGTGCCAGGCTCATGCCAAATGCTATGCCAGGCACTAGAGACATGCTAGTTAAAGGACTGGTGGGGCCAGGCACGGTGGCTCATGCCTATAATCCCAGCACTTTGGGAGGCAGACACGGGACGATCACTTGAACCCAGAAGTTGACAGCCAGCCTGGGCAACCCAGCAATTCCCCATCTCTATAAAAAAGAAAATTTAAACCACACAATGAATGAATGGATAGTGGGGCTCCCCAACTCCCAGAGCTCACATTTTAATGGAGATGTACAACATTAAACACGCTTAGATCAAGTTGGCACCATATAACTTGCTCGTTCTTTTAAAAAATAAGACTTGAATTATATAATTCAACAATAATCAAGTACTTAGTTATAAGTAAGCAGCTTCTCTCCTCCAGCCCAAAGGGAGAAACAAGGAATGGAGAGGAGAAAGGACAGGAAGAGATAGGGTAAGGTGAGTAGGAGAGAGTGGAGGGAGGGAGAGATAAAGGGAAAGGCTGAGACAGACATCCAACGGGAGCAGCTGATTTCCTAGACTGAGCCACACCCCTGGTTTATCCCAGCTACAAACACTGGGGAAAATCCATTATACTTAAATTGGGTTTCCCTTTTTTTTTTTTTTTTTTTTTTTTTGAGATGGAGTCTCGCTCTGTTCCCCAGGCTGGAGTGAAGTGGCACAATCTCGGCTCACCACAACCTCCGCCTCCTGGGTTCAAGTGATTCTCCTGCCTCAGCCTCCCGAGTAGCTGGGACTACAAGCATGCGCCACCATGCCCAGCTAATTTTTGTGTTTTTAGTAGAAATGGGGTTTCACCATGTTGGCCAGGCTAGTCTCGAACTCCTGACTTCATGATCTGCCTACCTCGGCCTCCCAAAGTACTGGGATTACAGGCGTGAGCCACTGCGCCCGGCTGTCACTTATAACCAAGAACACTTATGAATACAAATTAAAGAAGTTCATGTTTAAAACACTTCATGCCATGTATACATACAATATATATTTGCTAAATGAATGTATGAAATGTTAGCATCTGTTGAGCACTATGTTACATCTCCAGCTGTGATATGTGCTTTGTACACAGTATGTTACTTAATTCACTCAATTGCCTTATGAGGTGGGTGCCAAAACCATCTGAGTAGTTTAAGAGAGAAAATTGAGGCATGGAGGTTATTTAATAATTGCCTAAGATCACATGCTCAGTAAAGAGGAATGCCAGAACACAAAACTCAAGACTGACACAAAAACCTGTGCTGGTAAGTACTACACAACACTGATCAAAAGATCTAATGAGAAAGCCTTGAACTAACGTGTATCTATCCTGAATAATTGGATACTTCTTAACTGCTACACAGTATTTTAACAAAATCTGAGTTTACTGAATGAAATTTAACCATGTCCAAAATGCTACAACCCATTCTTAATTTTCTAAAAACCTTCAGGAAAACCTTTCCTGATTTTAGACCTTTTCACAGCTTAAAACACATCCTCTTACACCTCGTCTCCCTCATTCTCTACAGAGTAAATCTGAAAGTTTCTTATTCATTTTGTTTGTACCCAGTCTGGGAAAGAAAGACTCAAGGTACCATCTGAATTCTGTATCCTCCAGCAGTTAACCTTACTCACACAACAGGCTTGGAAAGGAGAATCACATTTTTTTTTATCACTGAAACTCCTATTCTATTATAAATACATACACTATGGAAAGTTCAGACTTCAACTACTATGACTAAAAAAAAAATTATTTTCATGGTTATTAAAATAATAGTAATTATGAGTATTTGTATAATACTTTACAGTTTACAAAGCACTTTTATACACAGTATATACCTGGACCCTCCTAGATGTCCTTTAAGTAGAGAATAAATCATGCCTCCATTTGGCAGTGAAAGAAACTCCTGATGAAAGGAAAGTAGTGATCTGCCCTAAGTCATTCCCAGTAAGTGACAGATTTGGATTTTAAAACAGGACTTCTGGCTCCAAAGTTCATATTCATTCCAGGAAAATAATACTTTACCACTGACTGTCAAAGCAGTTCTCTATCCGCTTACTCTAAGGATACTTTTCCCCTAAACCTTCAAGCCAGAAGTGTTCAAATAAATCATCAGCTGCTTTGAAGTCTCCTCAGTACAAACCTGTGTTCATGAACACTTACTCCGCAAACCTGCCACACACGGTGGCTAGAAATGTATGTCTCAGAGCTTCCACCTGGAGCCGTGCATATCTATGTATAGCAACTCAGGAAACTTAGTATTCTTAATAGTTACCTTTTAGGCTTTTTTTTTTTTTTTTTTTTTAAGACAGTGTCTCCCTCTGTTGTCCAGGCTGGAATGCAGCGGCACCACCTCAGCTCACTGCAGCCTTGACCTCCCCGGGTTCAGGTGATCCTCTCACCTCAGCCTTCCGAGCAGCTGGGGCTACAGGCGTGAGTCACTATGACCGGCTAATTTTTGTATTCTTGTTTGTAGAAAGAGTTTTGCCATGTTGCCCAGGCTGGTCTTGAACTCCTGGGCTCAAGTGATCCGCCTAGCTTGGCCCCCCAAAGAGCTAGGATTATAGGTATGAGCAACCGCACCTGGCCTAGACAAGAATCTTTTTTATTAAATGTTTCCTTGCCTGCCCTTAAACAGATTGATCCAAAATAATTTAACACTCTCCTGATTCAATACAAGAATTCTTTACAGGGCATCGATCCTATAGCCAGGCCCCGTGTGTTAAGTGCGGATGATTCACGCCTGTAATCCCAGCACTTTGGGAAGGTGAGACGGGGAGTTCATCTGAGGTCAGGAGTTTGAGACCAGCCTGGCCAACATGGTGAAACTCCATCTCTACTAAAAATACAAAAATCAGCCAGGCGTGGTGGTGCACACCTGTAATCCCAGTTACTCGGAAGGCTGAGGCAGGAGAATCGCTTGAATCCGGGAGGCAGAGGTTGCAGTGAGCTGAGATTGCACCACTGCACTCGAGCCTGGGCAACAGAGTGAGACCCTTCTCGAAAAAATAAATAAATAGAAATAAAAAATTAAAAAAATTCGCTGGGTGTGGCAGCTCATGCCTGTAATCCTACCACTTTGAGAGGCCAAGGTGGGCAGACTGCCCGAGCTCAGGAGTTCAAGACCAGCCTGGGCAACACAGGGAAACCCTGTCTCTACTGAAATACAAAAAATTAGCTGGGCCTGTAATCCCAGCTACTCAGGTGGCTAAGGCAGGATAATTGCTTGAACCCGGGAAGCGGAGGTTGCAGTGAGCCGAGATGGCACCATTGCACTCCAGCCTGGGCAACAGAGCAAGACTTCACCTCAAAAAAAATTAAAATAAAATAAAAATAATTAGAGGAGGATGAACTAGAAGATCATGAAGACTATTTGAAACTACACCGAGGAAGTCAACTCTTCACTTCTAACTACCTCCCACATACCTAATCCAACAAATGCTCAAAGAAGTAAAGACGCCTAACAAATTCTTAGAGCCTAAATTATCTACCAATTTATGGCTCACAAAATGGACTACAGGCAACTTTACATAAACAGTCATGTATCACTTAATAACAGAGATACTTTCTGAGAAATTTGTTGTAAGGCAATTTCGCCATTGTGTGAACATCATGGAGTGGACTTACACAAATCTAGATGGTGGATCTACTCCAGACCTAGGCTATATGGCATAGCTTATTGCTTCTAGGATACAAATCTGTACTGTACTAAATATTGTAGGCAATTTTAACACAAAGTACTTATCTACAAAGTATTTATGTAGCTAAACATATCTAAACATGGAAAAGGAGTTTTCCAATTGCATTGTAAACTCAGGATGACCATTGTATATGCGGTCCATCATTGATCTAAACGTTGTTATACAGTGCATGACTGTACAAATTACCACGGGGTTTATGGTTCCCAAGCACAATCCCAGACAGAATAGAAGACAATTAATTATTACGGTCAAAAACTTCCTTACAGCTCACATAAATCTGAATCCACCAAATCAAAGAACAAAATCCTCTTCAATATGTGCCTGATGCCCAAATTTCAAAACTCCAAAGCAAATGAATATTAACGAGTAACTTGCCAAGACTTGGGCTCTCCAAAGTGGAGATAATTAATGCTATAGAGGTCCATGTCCTCGGTGTGCCATGCGAACGTGGTCTTCCACATGCCAAAATATAGATACGGGGTATTTACACCCTCAATAGAAATGCCACACTCTTCTTCAACCACATCCAAGACTGTATTCAGGCGAGCTATGTTCCATTCATCCACACCCTGGAATGACAGAGAAAAAAAGAGAGAGAAATCAAATCTTACCAAACCATGAAATATAGCATTTACTGATCAAACCACTATCCACCAAAATCATTACACTGTATATTCTAATTCACTGAAAATTGAAAAATAAAACAATCCCTATTCATGAGCCACATACATATATCCATTATTATTAGTCAAAGATTACTACCAGCATAATGGGGTTCCATATAACTATTTGGTAGAAATTTATAACAAATAGCTTCCTGATACCAAATGGAAATGAAAGTTACAGCCCCACTCCCCAGTGGCTGTCAGCAAAAAATTACTGATTCAAAGCAGATGATCTGGCATGGGCTTTCCCTCTTTGGCACACTTTTTTGTTTTGGGGGTTTTTAGATTTGGGTTTTCTTGAGATTTTTTTGCACATTAGTTTAGAGGTAATATTCACCATCACATATCACATCAAGAAACCAATAGCAAAATATGACTTCTGTTATCCTTCTCCCATCCCCATCCATTCAATCTTAGCATGTAATACACTGTTTCCTCAAAATTCCACTCTAATTATTGGAAAAACTTTTGGCAGTATCCACTGATCACTGTGCTTCTACTAATGCTTCAACTAAACATTAACCTCTTATGTTAGTGGAAAAATTTAAACACACAATGCCTACTAAAAATACTTATCCAAACTTTGGTAAAATTGCTGGAATAATGTAGTTTTATAACAGTAACCCAATACGGATGGTGATGGCAGAGCAAGGGAAGGTTAGAGTCACTACTATAAGAGTTAAGGTGACAGGAAAAGATTCTGGTTTGATTAGAACTTAACAATCTTTTTTCCTCCCCCGAGACAAAGTCTCACTCTGTCGCCCAGGCTGGAGTGCAGTGGTGCAATCTTGGCTCACTGCAACCTCTACCTCCCAGGTTTGACCAATTCTCATGCCTCAGCCTCCCACACAGCTGGAACTACAGGTGCAGGCCACCACACCCAGCTAATGTTTTATATTTTTAGTAGAGACAGGAGTTTCACCATGTTGCCTAGGCTGGTGTTGAACTCCTAGCCTCAAGTGACCCACCCGCCAAGGCCTCCCAAAGTGCTGGGATTACAAGCATGAGCCACTGCACCCAGCCAATCACTTATGAATTCACTACAGTTCACAACTGCTTAGAAGTTTTTACAAACTATACATTTCTCCCATATATTTTTATCAAATTCTAAATAACAGAGACTAGGCACATTCCTATGTAATCACGGGGAAACTGAAATGCCTTTAAAGCCATTCCAACCTTTTCGTGCTAATGCACTATTAGAGAAGGGCATTGGCCGGGTGCAGTGGCTCATGCCTGTAATTCCAGCACTTTGGGAGGCTGAGGAAAGCAGATCACTTGAGCCTAGGAGCTCAAGACCAGCCTGGGCAACATGGCGAGACCCCATGTCTATTTTAAAAATAAAAACTAAAAGAAGGGTATTATATTCATCTATGTCTACCAAAGGTTGTCCTCTCCAACAACTATACCAATGGCTTCACATACGACCACTTCTAACATTTCCTGAACACACTAAAAGCTTTTAGAGTTGTTCTGTTTTCATTTTGGTCTTTAAATGATTTTCTAATTAGTGTGCTAATCTTACTTTCTAAAGCTTTGGGGTTAAAAAACTATTGATGAAGCAGCTAATGAAACTCTGACTCAGGTAACATAATTGAACATGCCAAAGGACATAATTTAATTCCCAAATTCTCTTAAGTAGCCACTCTGTCTACAACTTAAGCCGCACGCTGAGAAGCTTGTTATTTGAAACTGGTCAAAGTATCCGTTTAGAGAAGATCCTAGGTTCCAACTTTTGAGACCTCATAAAACTTCAATCACATTATGTAAAATATTTTATCTCACTCTATTTATAGTGATGCAATCTCTTAACTCTAGTCCAATCAGACTTCAGTCCAATCACCCTAATAATAGAGTTCTATTTAAAAGTCATTACTGAAGCAATGAATCTGAAGTAATAAATGAGCACCATATTATAGGAACCATTTTTAAACTAAATGAGCTTGCAAATTTAGACACAAACTATTTCTCTAAAAGTTCTACATATAGAGACATCTAAGTTTTATTTCTGACTGCCACTATCTTTTAAAAATAACCAAGGTTGAATCCCTTGACATCCTAGACCCATGGTATAAGGGGAAGAGGGTAGAGATCAAATAGTGCTGGACAAAAAGACCTAGATTATAACCTCAGCTCTGCAGGTCACTGAGGAGAAAGTCACAGAGCTTTTCTGAGCATCAAGTCTTTCTTCATGGAAACACAAGGGTTCTTGCACCCTCCTAGAGTTGCTCGGAGCAGTAAATAAGCTAAATGAAAATAAACTTTTATAAAATAAAATTTAATTCTTAGAACTGATATAATAAATATCACCACTATTCTCTAGCAAATCTTACTGGAAAGTCTCCCAAAAACAAGTCAAGCATGTCAGAAGTGATATTTAATAAAATGTGTTTAAGTTCACTACTGAAGTTCTCCCCGTTAATGGACAAATAGCATATTTGCAGCAGTTTCTTCTCAGCAAGGCAAAGTTGCTGAAAAGTAATTTCTTTTGCTAAAATAAAAAGTCTCATAATTTCAATTAAGCAGTTGTACAAATATTAATAACAACCAACAGAGAGAGATAAATCTTATTGCTTCAAAATTCACCAGTTTTTGTTCTCTACTATTAAACTAGTTAGCTGACTCCAAAAACACGCTCCACAAAGGCTCTTCTGAAGAGCACCAGGTCTGTCTCATATACTTAGACCAAAAACACACCTAGTTATCATTAAGTGTTATACCATATGCTACCTCATTACACTATACACACTTGCATGCTACATTTATTCTAAACAATCCTATAAAATGGGTAATGTTATTCCCAAATGAACAAATGAAAAAATTAATTCTCCTAGCTAGAAGTAGGTGGTAGTGATTAACCTAAATCTATCTGACTCCCGGACCTTCCTTTTTAAAGGTTTACGCTTTAGTTCTGATCCTTTTGAAATACGACATATCATCTTCTTCTCTCAGCATCACTGTCAACAAAGATCTAAGGTTCAGGAGCAGCAAACACATGAAGCTGCTGCATTCTTCTCACCAGCGGCAGAGCCACTCTACACAAACGTCAGCAAGGCTTATACCGCAGACTGCTTCACTTGAGAGCGCGTGACAGGAATGATTTAGCATAAAAGCAATCTCCACAGCCCAGCTACAAACAAGCCCCACAATGACAAGTGAGAATCTGCCAAACTGTTCAAAGCTTAATTCCATCAGGCTTCAGGAGAAAGGCTGCACACCAGCCCAAGTTCACAGACAAAAGTCTCCTCCTGGATTCTGTCTCCCTCAAATTAAACTCTCCCACACATGTTCAGCAGGCACATGAGCAATATTCATAACTCACCTGACTTCCAGTGGGCTGACTGGAGTCCTAGGCCTAGGAGTTCATGTCCCCTGGCCCCTTGTTCCTTTCACGCCAATTACCCAGTTGGAGCCTGTCCTGCCCCATTCCTTTATGTACCCTGCATCTGTTTTCTAAAACAACTCACAATTGGACCATGATTTGTGCACATAGGTGTAACTGAGAACTTTATCAGGGATATTCCCTTTCAATCAGTGATAGTATCTTCCTCCTATCAGGAATCAGACAGCAGTTTAAAAGTATTCCTAGGCCAGGCACAGTGGTTCATGCCTGTAATCCCAACACTTTCAGAGGCCAAGGCAGGAGAATCACTTGAGCCAGGAGTTCAAGACCACCCTGGGCAACATAGTGAGACCCTGTCTCTACAAAAAATTTTAAAATTAGCCAGGTGTGGTGCCTTGCACCTGTAATCCCAGCTACACGGAAGGCTGAGGAAGGAGGATCAATTGAACCCAGGAGGTCGAGGCTGGAGTGAGCCAGTAATTGCGCCACTGCACAACTGCCTGGGTGACAGAGAAAGATCCTGTCTCAATCAATCAATCAATCAATCAATGCATTCCTAAATCTTCAATGTCTCAACCAGGCCATCCTGGACTCTCTCCAGTGACTGCACTCAGTTATTGCAAAACTAAAGGGAACAATGCAGCAACATGCCATGTTAGAAACCTTGAGAAACAATGAGCCATTTCCACCTACACAAAGTAATAATGCAAAAATCACAGCAGCTCAATTTTTCCCAAAATATTTCCACTGCAACATTAGAAATATGGGTCCTAGATTGGGCGCGGTGGCTCATGCCTGTAATCCCAGCACTTTGGGAGGCCGAGGCAGGCGGATCACCTGAGGTCGGGAGTTCAAGACCAGCCTGACCAACATGGTGAAACCCCATCTCTACTAAAAATACAAAAATTAGCCCAGCGTGGTGGTGCGCACCTGTAATCCAGCTACTCAGGAGGCTGAGGCAGTAGAATCACTTGAACCTGGGAGGCGGAGGTTGTGGTGAGCAGAGATCATGCCACTGCACTTCAGCCTGGGCAACAAAGCAGGACTCCGTGTCAAAAAAGAAATATCAGTCCTATCAGATGCCGAGACCAAAAAAGTTTGTCCTCTTTGACTCCAGCTCTCAGACAGTCACAGTGCTGACAGACCCCCCACAAAGACACCCATAAGGAAACCTGTGTAACTCTGCTTAACTCTGCATTTCCCAAAAATCATTTGACCATGGAAGCTTGTTTGTATAACACATTTACATCATGTAAAACAGTGCTGTGTGGGACAACATATTAAAGGAAGCATTATGATAGGCAGTTCCCTAAACATTGTAGTGCAAATGCAAGTCAGTAAAACAAAAAATTACTGTGACCACATCAGAGATGCATTTCAGAACCCGGGGTGTGTGAAGGGGTGGCTGGAGTATGGTCACATTTATTGTCAAAATACACATATTTAATTTGATTATGTCACCTAAAAATAAAAAGAGACAGTGTAAATTACAAGCAATTAAAACAACAAAAGATATTTGTAAATGAAGATAATCTAAAGGATTAAAACTAGGAAGACAAAA